CTCCTCGGCGTTGCTCACCAGGCCTCTCTCTGCACTGCCACGCACCGAGCCCCGAGACTCAGCTCAGCCGGCGTGCGCACTGCAACTGCGTGGGGGGGGGGGGGGGCGGGGCACACGCGCATGCGCACGCCCCTTCACCCAGGAATTCGATATTTTGGAGGAGAATCAAGAGTTGTCTCCGTGCCTTAGGCAGAACAGAGAAGAGGAGGGAAGTTGGGAGCAGATGCTATATTTGTCCAAGCTTCCTTGGGAACTGTACACAGTGTGGAACTGCTTGTCCCAACAAGGTCGCTGCATGCCTTTTCATTTAGCATAGCAGCTTCCAAGAATGCCGAGGGCATGTCCACCCAGGGCTCTGTTCTCCAGTCCCAGAGCTGGTAGGTCAGGAATTAAAACCAGACCCTTCCTGCCACTTGAAGGGCAGGCACAGCCCCAGCCTGGCATGACCATTCCCTCCCAGGAAGGAACCTGAGAGCAGATCTCCTTCGATGTGAAAACAGACACGAGAAAATAGAAAAATGCTCCAAGAGAAATGTAGAAATGTGTAGGGCAGGGGCCTATGAAAACTACGCAGGACATGGCATTTTCTATATATTTCTCAACAGGGAAGAGAAATTACGGCATCACAGATTGTGATGCATACCATGTAGTGCCATGGATTGCAGGTTGCAATGAACTTTCCTTTCTGTAGGACAGTATTCCTTTGGTTAGAACTCTGAATGCACTTTTGTGCCATTTTGTGTTTTTCTCCCAGTATTTACTATGTTCTCACTAGGTTCTTGATTACCACAGAGTCTATTTTTATCAGGGAGCTTGAGGTATAAAAAAGGCAGTCATATCTATGCTCAGCATCCATCTCCTTGACACCAGTGGCCCAGTGACCTGGTGCCCTGCTCATCAACTGACAAGTAGAGGAGATTGTGTGTATAGAGTTGGTGGTACCTCCTGGCTCTGCAGATCAGGCCCTGCTGGGCTCAGCACTATCCTGACTCAAGGAGGTGGACTCCAAAGTCAGGGAGAGGGAGAACTGACTCAGAACAATGGCAGCCAAAGGGCACCCAAAGAAACCTGGATGAATGCCTGCCCTCAAGTCTCCCACATTCCCCAGGGAAATTGATCCTACCCCCGGCACTGTGGAGTCTGAGGGTCAGGTGTCATTCTCGGCATCTCAGGTTGACACTGAATTTTTCCTTGTAGCCCTTCACCTCTCTGTGCTCAGATGGCAGGGACAGACTCTCCCCAAGCTTTCACACTGAAGACACGGCTGAATTTCTAAGATCAAGAATAAATGAGCAAGGAGCAAATTACAAGAATGGGAGGTTTGATTTATAAATGTTCACAACAAATGAGTGCTGAGAAACTCATTTTGTCCCCTCCTGTCATAGGCACAGCTTTTATTAGCCCGTAAAAGCTCCCTGTTGGTACCCCAGGCTTCCCTGTAGAGCTAAGATGAGATAATGGGAAAAGTCAAATAAAGTCACAAGCACCCTTACCCTTCCTGAGACTTCATGGCTCCCCATGGAGCCAGGGGCCCTGGAGAAAGAGGGAGAAGCCAAAACTCATACAAATCAACACAGTCAGCTTCTAAGAGACTGGAAGAGACACAGACACGTGTATCAATGCTTCTTGCACTTGATATCCTGTACTGTGCCAGCAAAGTCACCACCACATTTGACCCCTCAAGTCAAGGAGCTTCAGAACTGACTTTGGGGGAAAACTTGCTGAAATTTTTTTATTGCTACAAGTCAAAGACTATAAGAGCAGGCCCAAAGCAACCATTAATCTATATTACTAAGGGTGGCAAGGTGGTGACAATGTCACCAAATCAGGAAGTTGGAGCGACATCGACACCTGCAGCATGCAGAGTAACTGAGGTTGAGCTAAAATGGTTTCCTCCAAGGTAGATTTCCATGAATAGCATGGGGGTTGAAGCAACTCTGGGTAGATATAACAATTTTAAAACAAGATGCACAGTATATGAGCCACATGCAATTTCTTCTTTCTGACCAATTCCCACGCCACTCTGCACTACTTGTAACAGACTAGCAATCCAACAGAAAAAGACAGTAATGGAGAGGAGGAGGTAGAAAAAATAGAAAAAGGAGAGGAAGAAGAAAGAAACTATAAAGAGAACTTAGAAAAAAGAAAATGCTAAATGAGGAGGAGGATCCCAAGAAAATAGTAAGAAATTGCTCAAGGATACTCTTTGGACAAAGGTTAAACAAATCCCCCTAATACAAAAACTTCTATCACTCATTTTCATTCAGGAGGCTAGATGAGCAGATAAAACAAGTGTGTAAAAAGGGAAGAAATCCTAAAAGAAATGTCCAGGCAGAAGCTGAGGAAAACACCCAAGAGTTGAGCCCCGCCCCCCCCCCCAGTTCCCAGTCCCATGGGTGAAGAGCATTGAGCACCAGTCCCAGGAAGGTCACCACTGAAAGTGCAGTCTCAACACTTGCACCCCCTGTGCCTGGACATAAGTCCTCTAACACAGCATCATCTGTCGATGGATGAAGCAACAGTCTGCTGAGATGAGATGGCAAGGTCAGCTTCCACAGTGGCCATTAATCCTCCACAGCAAATGGGTTACTCCTGCAAGGTAGCTCAAAGAATTCGACTCCATGCACCACTCCAGCATGACAAGGAAGAACTCCGCTCTCTTCTTGGGAAGACAGCTGTGGGACTGGCGTGATGACATGACACACGATGTTCCCACCCAAGGTGATAAGCCCCTCAGAAGGCTCTGTGCACACAGCATCTTTTGGTAAAGAAGTATTCCAGGCCCAAGATCTATTTAATGTACACTAGATGCCTATCCCAACATCCTCAACTCTATGCCATAGAAAGGAAGATGCACTGCTGGGAAATAATTGACTCCAACCAGGGACGAGTATCAAGTTTGAGAGCCTGACTGGATGCTCAAGAATGAACTTCAGAAGCTGTGCTTCAATTACAACCTGAGGAACATTCTAGGTTCTATCAATTTGTGTTTCATCTGTAGTGTTTCTGTATCCAGTATTCTCCAGTACCTTTCAGTGCAGTAACCAAAAAAGCTTCTCTGTGTGAAAATACACACCAAATTAAAATTGTACTTTCCTTCCTTCTAATATGGGAAGTGAGGTCCTGAGCTAGCAAAGGCCTCCTCATTGCTCCCAGGCAGCATTCTTGTGAGACCAGTGGCTCCTGCTTTGCCAGCCAGCAGCTCTACTTGTAGACTTGTAGCTCCACCCTGTTTCCTCAACAGAAATTCTGTGCAGAATTTTCACACCACTTGGAAGTAGATGTATCTCATCAATTCACTGTCAAGTTACTGTCATTCAGAATCCCCCTGGGCCAGAATCACCTCTAGTCATGTGTCTTAAATACTTTCACAGTTAGATTCATAGGTACCCAAGACAAGGAACCTCAAAGCTCCTGCTTATTAGAGGTGAAACGAGGGGAAATATTCAAGCATGGCAGCCTTATAAATGGGTGCATGGCAAATGCACCAAATGTGTTAGGGTCATACAGGAACAACTAGAGAACAGTTCAAATAGAATACTCTTCTGATTTTCTTATCCAGAGTCAAACAATGGCATCTAGGCTATTGTAATGGTGAGACCCAAGGACAGCGCTTAGACTACACCAAGCCCCTGAAGTTGAAGTGGATTTCATTGTGTATGAAACAAGAACTCAGATATGTTGTTGGCCAAACTCCCCAAACTAAGCTGTTAATTTGAAATGTGCTCACTTCCTGAAGTTCTTGGGAGAAACCTGAAACTATGAGGAGACCATTTCCCCAGTTCACCCTACTCCCTTTTGAGTTTCCCTGTCACCCTCTCTGCCCTTATCTGAGATCACTGAGACCAATCAGGGTACAAGAAGAAAATTATAATATTCCAGCATGGTCAGAGGGTCCTTTCTTATGAATGTAGAGCCAGAGTCACACTAGAGAATGGTTCTCATCTCTCCATGGTCCTGCTGGGCCACAGCTCAAAACTTTAGACTCTTCTCTTGTTCTAGAAAGGCCTACTGCATGAACAAACTCACAAGGCATGGCTCAGACCCCTACAGAAGTCATTCAAGGGGCTTATTTTTGAAGGATGTCCAACATTTTCACTTTCCTTCTGAAAGACACAGGGAATGTTTTATTTTCCTCCTTGTGGGCTAATGTAGACTAAGGCCCGTGAAATAGAAAACTCCATCAACAAATAGGCCTTCTCCACTGTCACTTGGAACCAGAACCTAGCTGGGGTGAAGTTCCTTGTCCCTTACTCTAAGAAATTACACTTAATCTTTTCAGACTCTGCATGCAGTGAAATGACTGAAGGCAAATATCTAGATCTTTGGTGGCTGACCTAGACTGAGCAAAACACCCCTGGCCTCAAAGAAAACTGCTGTATGGCAATAGATATGAGGCAGAACCCTTGACACACAGGATCACACTGAAAACCTCAACCACAACATCCCAGAGTCCAGGATCAGAGCTCTGAATCATTCTAGAGATTCTTCTAGGTGCACCTGAGGAAACAGAACTCAATTCAAGGAAGCAAGGCTAGTGGTTTTCTACAGATAATTGTGTCTGTGCTGGTCATCAAAACTGCTGCATTTCTGTCCATTAAAAACTTATTCAACACAATATTCTGTATTTAGTGATGTTGCTAAAGCAGCATGTCACTGAATTTGAGAAGGAAGTGCATAGTGTTTTCCACATATGGGCTCTATTTCTAGAGTGGTCTCTTTCAGGCAATGCTACTAAAGAAGAGAATTCTTTTGAAGGACCTAAAGCACGTCTAGGCAGTAGAAGTGCCCATGCCATACTTCACATGGCCCCAAGAAAATACCATTCAGAATTAGTGTGAATAGAACCATGCTATGCAT